ACCCTAAACACCCTTAACACCCTAAACCCTATAAACCCTATAAACCCTAAACCCTCAGCCCTAAACCTCAAACTAGCGGCCTGCAAGTTGCCCTCATGGGACTGCTTCATGTCCTCGGTAAAAGTTGGGTCCGACATTTGGGGCTTGCTGACTTTTCCGGCTCAGGGTCTGTAGGGTTTTTGCTTTTCCAATTTAGGGTTGAGGGCTTAGGCTTTTTGTCTTCAGGTTTCGGGCTTCGGGTCTCCAGGGTGCGTTTTACGGTTCAGGGTCGCACCTAGTCCGCCACCCCACATCGGGACCTACCCTACAAGACTGTTTGCAGACAGCCGCGATTTTGGAACATGAGGGCTCCGGGAAGGGCGGCTTCGGGGCGGGACATGATTTCATATCGAGTTTCGGATTACCGGTTCAGGTTCCTTGCCTTTCAACCGGAATCACCAATACACGCGGGATTGTTTAAGGTTCACGGAAGCTCTTCAAGATTAAGTTTAGGCTTTGGGTTAGTTTCATTTAGGGTTTAGGGTTTAGGGATATTCAGGGTTACCTTTCGTCGACGCCTGGCTTTAGATCCAGCGACTGTTCATCTGTTGGCAGGCTCTGGTGATGTAGAGCTTCTATGCTTGAAGACCTCTTCCCAAAAATACCGTATCCTACAACCCTTAGACCCTGTTCCATCATAGTAACCCTAAGCCCTAAACCGAACAAACCCTTGTCTCCTTGCTCAAGCCTCCAAATTAACACCACCGAACTAATCGATTCAAAGCCTGATAAAACTCTTAATGCCAGAGTAAACCCAGAGCCCTAAACCGAAACAAAATCTCCACCCACAGGCTCCCAAAACCTCAAATCCGAAATCCGAAGCTCACGGAACCCTCGCAGAAGTCAGGGCTTTCCTGGACGTCGTTGCGCAGTTGCCGGATGAACTGCTCCTTCGCCTCTGAACTTTGGGGCTTTATGCCCTTTTAGGGTTTCTGGGTCTTGTGAAGTTTAAACCCTATAGGCCCTAAACCCTACAAACCCTACAAACCCTATAAACCCTATGAACCCTGAACCCTAAGCCCTAAACCGGTTTCAGGGTCTTGTAAAGTTTAGAAGGCTCGGGCTCTTCGGGCATGTCTTCAGTTTTTCGGGGGAGGTAGGATGTTCGGCTATTCTAGGAATGTTGAAGACTGCAGGGTTTCAGGGTGTTCATGCTTCGGGCTTTAAGGGTTTAGGGTTTAGGGCCTCGCCTCTGACCGATTTAGGCACGTTCGGGTGTCGGGGATTACGGGTTCATCTCTGGCGCGAAGGACGTGCGATTTCCAGATGTCTGGTCCGACCCTTTGCTTGATACTGTTGATGGTATAAACCCTGCAGTACCTTACCTAAACTATGGGAGTTCTGGTAAATTCCCTATTAATTACTTTAAGGACCCTAAACTATGGGAATTATGGTATATTCCCTGGGAGGTTGCGGCCGATGCCTTTGCGGGTGTCGCTGTTCAAACCATTTTTCTCCGTGCCTCTCAGTAATCGTGCCGGCCAGCTGAGGCCTGTCCTCAAGCGAGCTCGCCGCCTTGGCGGGACCTTGAGTCGCGAGGGTGCCTTCCGCCGGCTACCGTGGTTGGCAGGCCGAGCTGAACCAGTCGTCTCTCGAGGAGTGGCGGCGCGCACCGCTGTTGGTGCCCAAAGTGTTCGTGTTCGACGAACTGCGTCGGGTGGGGCAGTGATACCGTACGCACACCGCTTCTCCCTCGCAGCTCCGTTCTCAGGATCAGGAGAAAAGGGCTAAGGCCCCCCTTGAAGGGTTCAGGGGTTTAGGGCTTGAGATTCAGGGCATGAAACTCCAGATTCCGGCTCGGTATTCAGGGTTTTAGGGTTTACGGCCGGTAGGGTTTAGGGTTTATGGGGGTTTAGGGCTTTGGGGGATTAGGGGTTTAGGGATCGCAATTAGGTGTTAAGGGGTGCAGGGTTTTGGGGTTTGGGGGGCTTAGGGCTTTGGGGGTTTAGGGTTTGAGCAAATCCATGGAATCCTCTAACCTCATTGAACTATCCTAGAATCCTAGGACCGATATACACGAAATCCTGCAGCCCCCTATGAAAGACCTTCGGAATGCTCTAAGCCCCAAATGAAGCCCTAGAACCCCAATGGAGGAGCTCCGGAAAGTCCTAAACCCACATGAAATCCTACAACCCTACAAGCCCTATAAGCCCTATAAACCCTATAAGCTATGAAAGAACCCTTGAGTGAGTTGGGGCTCCGCGAGTTGTTCAAGCGACTGCCTGGAGAGCCTTCTCCAGCTCCTTCACTTTCGTGAAGTAACGCTCCTGCTGGTCCTGGAAAGAAGAAAATTGCGTGCGTATATATATATATATATATATATACGTATCCATGTGTATATATATATATATGTATATATGTATCTATATATATATATATATGTATGTCTGTATATATATATATATATACATATGTATGTCTATATATATATATACACACATATGCAACATATGTATGTCTCTCTCTCTCTCTCTATATATATATATATATATATGTATATAGACTTTTACCTGTATATATATATATATATACATCTGTATATACACATATATATATATATATATACGTGTTATCCTCAGGCTGTAAGGACTCACGCGTTAATGCCTTTGGGCGCTCATGAGCCTTAGGGCTAGGTTTGGCAAGTGCTCAGGTAGAACGGGGTGGGGAATTCAGCGTCGGGAAGCACCTTTCCCGTCTCCATGTGTGGACATCCAGCTCCTTACCGTGAGGATGCGCCGGCCATACGACCGTAACTATAAACTCTATAAACTCTAAACTTCCTCGTGTAGCCTTGGAACGGTAAACGGCAGTGCCATCCCACTCCAAAGCCTAAACTGCTCAATGCCGAAACCGTAATCCCCTGCAAGCCTTAAAACCTAAAGACCTCAACCGTAAGCTCCAACCATGCACCTGTTCCCAACCAACTCCCGAATGGAAAGCTTGCACTAGTCCTATCCAGAACCCCAAACACCTTCGAATCCCTAAATCCCAGAAGCCAAAACCCTGAATTTCTAGAGCCCTATCAAATTAGAATCTCAGAAAGCCCTCGTAAAAACCATGTAAATCCTAGACACCGAAACTCCAAAGCCCAAGCCCTCAACCCTTACCTTAAGCCCTAGTTTAAAACCGAATGTGAATATAGGGGTCTGAAACATTGGAATAGGGTTTTGGTATATCTCACCTGATTAACACTATAATCAGGAGCCCTAACAGAACAACAGTGGCACGAGTATGTTTTCAGCCTTCTATACTAAGCTCTGAACCCTTTGGCCCGAAACCAAACTTAAAACCTATCTGGACCCTAAGAGGCCTCACTTTTTGGGGCTCTTATTGAATATGATTTCCTTCGAATAGGTCATTGAAAAAGTAGGTTGTTCAGGGTCCAGGTAGGTCGTAAACCTCACCCCCGCCCCCCAATGCTGGGTCGGCCTTTTGGTCTTTAGCGTGGGCCATCTTCAAAGCCTGCTTTTAGGGGCAGCTCTGTTGGAGTTTGGGGAGTTGGCGGGCTTAGGTGTTCGGGGTTTGGGCATATTTGGGGAAATGGGGGTTTTGGCGTTTTGGGGCATTGGGGCATGGGGGTTTTGGGTTGGGGGGTGTAGGATGGTGCTTTCTGTCACGGCAGTGTAAGGCTTAGGGAATTCAAGGCACGGCGGTCCCTGTTGTTGGATTCAGGAGGGGATGGGAGTTTCGGCTATGGCTGGGACCTGCGGATACGGCTATCCGCTCTGTCGGCTGGGCTGCTTCTTGGGCTCCACTCATTGAGCCCACCGGTGAGTAGAGATGCACAGCAAGGTGGGGTTTCCGGGTTTAGGGCTTCGCTTTAAGGCAAGGTTTCGGTATCTGGTGTTTTACAGAAACAGCGGTTCCCTGCGTGCTAGGGTCCTTAAACAAGGATCCCGATCCCAGTACCAGGTGCCTCTCACTTACGATGGAGGGTTAGAAAGTTTAGAACCCTCGTATCTCGGATTCTGTATCGAGCATTAAGTTTAGGATTAAGGGGTTGAGGACCCTACTATCTAGACGAGATGAAGCCGAAAGTATCGTTTCGCCTCCAGCTTGAAAGAAAGGGGAATCTACACTCAAGCTATATCTTCTCACCACTCTCAACTACCAGACTTATAGGAGTTTAGGGTTTAGGGATATCAAGACTAAAGCCAAGTCCGAAGTAAGCTAAGATTTTACGATGAGCTCGCTCCAACCCTGAAACTTTGCAGGCTTTCACAAGGCTAAAGCCCTTCTGCCTAAACCCCAAAAGCTCGAGAGCCATGAGCCTTAATGCCTCCAAGCCTAAACCGGAACACCCTAAGACCGGTGCCTTTATCATCAACATAAGGCTTAAAATACATCACACTAGAGTTCTGGCTCGAAGCTGAGGCCCTAGTATACGTGACGATTCGGGCTTCTACAGTAAGCCCTGACACCCTGGAAGCCCTGAGATTCTCAGCCCCGAACGCCCCCTAAACCTCCCCAGGAGCCTCCATGTCTCTCTGAAGCTGCCTGTGTCTGTCGAAGTGTGAATCTTGCTGCGCCTGGATACGACTACAGCAGAAGCCCCAAAAAACTGGAAACACAATAGCCTCACTCCGTAAGAGTATTATTGTATAGGGAGTCTCATCAATGGTTGTCCTTAATCCGGTTACCAGCTTTTTGGGTTTTACTTTAAGGGTCTAGGGTTGCTGGTTGGCTGAGGGTTTCAGAGTTTAGAAGTTTTGGGTTTCGGGTTGAGAAACGTTGAGCTGAAGCACCCAGAGTCTCCAACTCCACCGCATTAAGGAAGACACCTGAAATCAGATGAAGGATCCGAGCATAATTTAAGGTGTGGTGGGTGTTTGGGAGTCCCTGGGTAGAGTCTTAAAGGCTACGGGTCAGGATTTGGGCCGTGTCCGGGCTTGTGTAGTGTGAAGGGCGAACCTTTGCTGGGCATGTTTTCGGCTTGAGGGGGCTTAGCAATTCGATTCTGGCTTAAGGTACACCCTTGCCTTAGTAGCTGGAATAATAAGGTTTTGGGAGTATGCTCGAATTTTCGAATTACATTTCAGAACTTTAGGTAGTCCTATCCATATGTATCACTACTTATTGAAGACCCTAGTGTTGAGATTAAACCCTAAACCCTAAACCCTAAACCCTAAACCCTAATCCGCTAACCCTGAAGACAAGGCTCCGGCCCGAAGATCCGGGTTGCCTGAGATCCTCAAACCGAATTTCGAAACGTCCACATACCTCGAACTCCAAAGCAGGGTTTCCATGGGGGGTGCCTTAAAGAAGGCTGTAAAGTTGAAGTCTCTAAAACATTGGGTTTTTTGTTTTTTGTTTTATGGCTGCCAGCTTCATACCTGTTCCGAGCTAGAAAGGCTTCTGCTCCCGCGGCAAGGGAGCATCCAAGGCATGTTTCTAATATAGGGGCCTTAAATCAGAACGGGGTTTTGGGGTATATGATGCTATGATTATAATACGGAGCCCCTGTATTACAGCACAGTTGTTTAGGGTGTAGGACCTTTAGGACTTAGGGTTTAGACGAGAAGCCGCTCAATTTTCTTCTCGTTGTTTTGGATCTCAATCTAGAGGCAAATGACAGAAGCCGTACGGCCACGGCACGCGTTGACAAGATTGTCTCGCCGGCATTGTCAGTGGTAGTCCTTCTGTACTATACTTATAATAAGGAACCCCAACAATAGTATAGGTAATTAAGCCAAACCTAAACCCTGACTACCCTAAGCGTTAAACCCTAAACCCCATAAACCCTAAACCCTATAAACCCTTAAACCCTGAATCCCTATAACCCCTAACCCCCAAAACCCTATAAACTCTAAACCCTTTAATCCCTAAACCCTAACGGGCCCAGGGTTTGCGGCTTCTGGGCTCATCTTGGTCCCCTTGAAAGGGACCCCTAATCCAAATACCGTATATAACCCCTATATAGTCTCAGAAAGGCCCTAAACCCCAAACCCTAAACCGTAAACCCTAAACCCTAAACCCCAAACCCTATATCATCCCAAGGGTCCCTTTAAGGGTCCCTCCTTTAGTCCCTTCTGGGCTCATCTTCGACCCCACGAAGCCGTGGTCTGGCCTGAAGCGCCTGCGCATGCGCAGCAGTCTGCGCCTCTGGCTTAGGGTTTAGGGCCTATAGGGCATATAGGGTCTAGGGTTGAAGGGTTTAGGGCTTAAGGGTTTAAGGTTCAGGGTTTAGGGCTTAAGGGTTTAAGGCTTATAGGGTTTAGGGCTTAGGGCTTTTAGGGTTTAGGGTTTATGGTTTAGGGGTCTGCGCCTCTGGCCGCATGAAAAGGGGCTTGGGACTTAGGGTCTGGCCTTCGGGCCTTGGGGTTTATAGGGCTTATAGGGCTTAGGGTTTAGGGTTTAGGGTTAGGGTTCGGAGTTCAGAGTTTAGGGTTTAGGGTTCAGAGTTTAGGGTTTAGGGCTTAGGGCTTAGGGTTTAGTGTTCAGAGTTTTGGGTGTAAGGTTCAGAGCTTAGGGAACTTTGAGCTCAGCTTGATCGCAGGAAAAGATAGGACACCCATCAGAATCAAAATCAGAATACGAAGATGACCACATTTATAGACTACACTTCGCCCTAGACCTCCCCGAATGCAATTCATTCTGTAGGGGCCTTAGTATTTATTAGAGGGGTGGGGCATTTTCTGCTGGAGCTCTAGTACGAAACCCTATGCAACAGTATCACTGACTTACTAACTAGGCCGATCTGCATATGACTACTTGCGGCGGTGAGACCACTGTCACCACAACGAACATCCGGTGAAAGGAGTGTGGTTTTAATGTTCAAACACCTGACAAAATGCTCAGTACAGATAAGAATACGACGAATGGGGTCACGCGTAACGACAGTGGTCGGAGCAAAAGCGATGAAAACCACGAACAGCCGCAGTTTCGGCAATGGTCAAGCCCCCAAACAGAAGCCTCGGTCCAACTTAAGCTCAGACTCTCTAAAACTTTCTGAAACACTAAACCCGAAATGCGGAAACGATTTCTACAGCAGCCGTACTTTGCCGTAGCAGTTAGGACAAGGTTGATTATGATTTCCTATAACCGTATGGTTTTTAGGACTGCGTAAGACTGCATATCATAAGGGGGCATCAATAGACCCAGTTATTCCGACCTTCATTAGCTGGCCCTGTCATACTCGCTCACAAACCCCTGAAGACTCCGAACTCTCGCAACCCTTTCGTTCCCTCCAAACCCTCAACGCTACTCTAATGCAGCATCGCCACGTGCATGGCTTCCCGCAGCAAGGAAGCTGTCTGCTCCCACTTGTCATGCTTCGCCTGTGTTGGCCAATTCATCTAAAGAGTTCCTTCAGGCCTCTAGGTTTCTATACCCACGTACCCACGTTTTTGAGCCAGGCTTGGGGTCATATGCCGGGGCCTCAAAAGATAGAATAGGGCCAGGTCCTAGCCAGAGTGGCGTGAGGGACTGTGGTTTCGAAATGCTTCGAACTACGCCTATGCAGACATCTTTGTGGCCAAAAGCTTAAGTTTGGGTTTAGGGCGCGGGGTTTGCGGTCATGGAATTTGGATGTGACGGCTTCGTGTTTGTGGTTGAGGTTTAGGTTAGTAAGGGCCTGAGATTCAGGGTTTCGGGATTGGTGTTCGGAGCTCGGGGATCAGAGCTCGCCCATGAAGCGGTGCTCGAGGGCCAATTGCATAAAGCTACCAAGTTAAGGTTAGGGCTTAGGTACGTAATGATAGTCCTCGTGCACATCGTATGCAGCTTCAGTGCGTGTGGACGTTTCCTCACCCAGACTTAGCTATGTACAGTGCAGTGTCGAAGCTCTTGAAATGGGTGGGCATGGCAACTTGAAGATATGGGAGTTTCCGAAAATTAGGGTACCCTATTTTGGGGTCCTTATAATAAGGATCCTACTATTTAGGGTACCATATTTGGGTCCCCTATTTTCGGAAACCCCCATATGGAAGATTAAGGCGCATGTTGCACGGGAGAAGTAGCTCCACCAAAATGCTGTTGCTGACTTGTGTCAATGAGTTGACAACAATGAAGCTGACGAATTGTGCACTCACTGTGCCACCACTCTGATCGATGCAACAGCTTTTGCTGCGCAGTGATTGGGTTGCCACCTCGAAGCTGTTCTGGCCTTGCAAAGTGACCACAGGTATGCATCGCCCCGACGACGCAGCCAACAGAGCTCTAAGTACGACGAAGTGAGCTTGGATTGAAGATGCAACGAGACTCGAGACTGTGAGTGCAAGTGGCGACACCATGCTTGGCAAGAATATTTGACTTGTTTAGGGGTGTTTGGAACATTCACTCCGGTCATGTGCTGACGTCTGAGGTTGTCAAGCCACGTGTGGAATGTTTGCTTGTGGCTAACATAAAACACAAACAGGAAGTTACGTTGGCACAAAGCATGTGGTGCAGTCAGAGCGAGCAAGTGCATACCTACAAACCTACCTACCTATCTACCTACCTACATACATACATCCATACATGCACGAACACCCACCGAGTCCGAATGTCTGACACCGACCTGCTTCAAGAAGGTCTGGGCGAAACGCCGAGCCCGAACCCCGAACCCCAAACTCTGCACAGTAATGTAGGGGCCTTTATAATTTGAACAGGGTCTTGGGGCCCATTATATTATACTTGTAATAAGGACAGTATTAAGCAATTATTACGACCCCTATATTTGAAGGACGTTCGATTCGGCAGCCTGCGACATCCGCGGCGAAAAGGACTCCATTCCGGCATATGGCCTCCGTGCAATAGTGTAATGCGGAGAGAGGATGGCAGGGGGCATCCAGGGCAGACTTGCCGTTGGCTTGGTAGGTCTAGTGCATACAGTACCGATCCGACTTCTTTGTTGTTTCTATGGCAGCATAAGTGAAATTTGCAGGGATAATTATGGGGTCACAACCAACTCCACTGAAATGACAAAAGTCCACTGCACCATTCGCAAATCCTCAGGCTCCATGCCATTGAAGGGGGCTACTGGGGTGTAGGGTTTAGGGTTTAGGGGTTTAGGGTTTAGGGGTTTAGGCGGAGTACCGAGACTTAGGCTAGCTAGGGCCTAGGGTGTTTAACCTGTGCAAAGCCCAGCCCACGGAGGCCTGGTGAGAGGTGCCGGTACCTGCGCAGAACAGCCATGACTTCCGGGGTGTCGCGAATCGCATACTATAGCTGGCTTTAATCAAATTCGTACAGTATTTCTCGGGTTTGGGGGTATCTCAGGGTATAGTTTTAATAGGGAAGCCGATCAGGTGTAGTATGATTGGTTATTGAGGCTTCTATCTTGCCCAAACGCAGGAAGGGAGCAAAGGTCGCTCTCTCGCAAGTCCTACCTGAAGGGCCATGTCAAACGGGCTTTGCGGTTTTGAGGTATAGCAGCACACATGCATTTACATTTACATGTGGATTTACATTTACATTTACACGTATATTTACATTTACATACATCTGCATATGTACGTACATACATGCATGCATACATACATGCTTTTTTATAATGTAAACATGCATGCATGCAGGTTTGCATGCATACATACATACATACATACATACATACATACCTATGGACAGGTTCATGTGTATGTGTATGTACATTACGTATGCATGTATGTACGAATGTATGCATGTATGCATGTATGTAGGTATTTCTGCATGTGTCTATGTTTGTGTGTGTGTGTATGTCTGTATGTATGTCTGTATGTGTGTATGTACGTATGTATGTATGTATGTATGTATGTATGTATGTATGTATGTATGTATGTGTGCACGTATGCATGTATGTATGTATGCATGTATGTATGCGTGCATGTTTGTATGTATATGTGTATATGTATATATATATATATATATATATAGTATCTGTCTTTGCTTGTCTGTATTCACACGTATGACAACATACGCATGCATGCATGTATGCATGTATGCATGCATGCATGGATGTAAGTGTTTCTGCATGTATGTAAGATCATGTGCGTATGTATGTATGCACGCATCTATGTATGTACGCATGCATGTATGTGTATGTACGTATGTAAGCATGAATGAATGTATCTATGCATGCATGTATGTATGTATATACGTATGTTTGTAAGTATGTATGTACGTATGTATGTACGTATGTATGTTTGTATGCATGTATGTACGCATGTATGTGTATCTCATATATGTGCATGCAAAGACGGGAACAGGAATTTCAGGTATAGTTATAGTCAGTAGTCTGGGGGATAACATAGGGTTTAGAGTTTAGGGCAATGGCTCCTATTAGGATGTACACTCAAAATGGAACAGAAACTGCACGATATGTTGTCAAGATGTTGTGCGTGCCGGACCTTCGGACCTTGAACCTCAGCATGGATTTCAAAGAGGTGGAATTGAAATCGATTGCAACTCAAACCCTAAACCCTAAACTCAAACCATCAAAAACCTTGGACTCGGCCCCCCTCGAATCCAGTAGTCAGAGACACAGAGACGCTCAGATCTCAGGTCAAGGGTCCCTTACTGACCTCACCACAGATTCCTATCTAAGTTTCTCCTTAAGAAGATAGCTTAAGTAACAGGATGTGGAGTCTCTGGGCACTCTCCATCGACTTAACCACTGTGGCTTGAGAGTGGTAATTCCCAGTCGGAGTGGCAAAACGTCTTAAATCAACCCAGCATTTACGCTGTAATTTGACAAAGAACCTAGGAGAAACATCATTCAAGCCGCCTTTTTGTTGAAGCTGAGACCCTACACCCTAAAAGCCCCAAGCCCACCACCCTACACCCCAAAGCCAGGTCCGAAGCCCTGCAACCCCCATACCGCCCCTTGCGCGCCTCCTGGATGGCTCCTATGCCCATAGAAGCAGACATGGGTCCGCAAGCGAGACTTCTTCTCATTTGCCTAGTTCTGACTTCCGCAGAGTCACGCTTAAGGGTCCCATGAGGGCTAACAACAAGGCCTTCATGGTTCGAGATTCTAGAGAGGGTTTAGGGTTTGGGTTCTAGACCAGCCATTACACAAGCCACTGCTACTACGAGAGCCACTTTGTGGTCCCAGGGTGGGGGTAGGGTTTAGGGATTTATGGGGATCGACAGTAGGCGCCCTCATCGAGACGCCCTCGGCGAATCTATTTTCCATTCGGGCCTCAGACGGCGGCAGGTAGCTAAAGCACATGTGCCTGCAAAGGTGAAGGCTGCGCAAACTTGCCAAAAAGAAGAACCAACAAGAACTACAGCAGCGATTCTTGTAGCACCTGTAGTATGCAGCTTTAGAGTTGAGCGATTAGTGTTTTGGAGTTTAGTGTAACGAACTTAAGGATTTCTGAGGATTTGGGCAGACGGTGAGGCTGCGGCGCTGAGCCGTTCGAAGGGGCAGGGCCAGAGCAAATTCCCGCTTTGATTGATCACTGCTTCCACATCATCTATCCGGTGGTACCATAGATTCAGGCTCAAAGCTATGCAGCTCTCATCAGGAACGGTCAGAACTGCGTGATGCCACTGAGCTGGTATGTACCTCGGCTCACCACAGACATGGAAAAACGGGAGGGGCAGTTCTGGTTTGTGGCACGCGGAGTTCGACTACAGCATGTTCCGCGTGCTTTACATTTCTGTATAATATATATATATATATATATATATGCACACATATATATATATATATATATATATGTATGTCTTTATAAAGCTTCAAAAAGCCCTGATCTGCTGAGTATCCGGGAACACAATGTACAGAGGCACTCTCTCACGGCTTGTTGAATTGAGTTGCTTCGGTTCGGGCCTTGAGCCCTCCTCTGTGGTTATAATTCCGCAGCCCACAGCTCTGCAAACGTCCCGAGCCTGCACAATCCGAATGTCAGAAACGGCCCTTCCACATTACCAGTGGGACCAAACCCGGCTGCACGTCTACAGCAAGGGTTACAGAGAAGAACACCCCTGAAGGATCATGTAAGCGCACCGAAGAAGGCTTCTGAGTTAAGTCGGGCTGAATATCCCTAAACTAAACCCTAAACCCTAAAACCCTAAACCCCAAGGCCATCTCCGGCACACTTAGTCCCATCTCAAAACTACCCTTAAGCCTTACGAAGTAGCCAGCTTGAGGCAAGAAGTGGGGGGTTTAGGGTTTAGGGTTTAGGGGGGGGGGGGTGCTACAATTGCGATTGCGAAGCAGGAAGCTGGCAAGCAAGTGCAGGGCCACAGAATGTAGAGCGTTTATAATGTTTAGGGTTTAGGGTTTAGGGGTTTAGGGTTTAGGGTTTAGGGTTTAGGAATTAGAATAGGGTTTTGGTGTATGTTATACGGTAAAAAATAATAATACGGGGCCTCGCCAAAGAGTATTGGCAAT